ACAATATTACATCAATGGATGTAATTTTGTTCGCAAAATCGATGTACATCGTACAACGTTATATTACACAACCGATGGATTGACCTGGTTGCAGCAGTTTGGATGTGATATTCAACAACTTTTTTTTCTGTGTATCACAATCACGATCGTCAAACAGCTGATGGTACTAACCAATGAGGTACAGAGAGAGGTGGCGCAGATCGTGAAATAGGGTTGTATTAGTAAACCAAAAAATCAACGTAAACGCAAGTAGTGACGTCACTACTTGCGTGTACTTGCGTGTATCGTACAGTGGTTGTGTGAGTGATTGCTTCACCTCGGTAATCCAGCTCATTGGGTACTAACGCTTGGTAAATCTAGCTGGCCAAAACCCATTTTTTTCAGAAGGGGGCTAACTGTCAATGAAGTAGTGCACACGCTAACTTGAAAGTACTCATTAATGAGTAAAAAAAGACCCATTTTGAAGAAAAGTGGCTTAACTCATTAATGATTAAACAATTTTACCCATTAATGAGTATCTGTTACCCATTAATGATTAACAATTACTCATTAATGGGTAACAGATACTCATTAATGGGTAAAAAATTTACTCATTTAACACGGATACGAATTTTGTTCATTTAAAACAAAAATATAAATGTTTATACTCTTAACATATGAATTATTCAAAGTAAATTGAAAGCATGTTTAAAACTAAAATATTTATGTTAAAATTAAATTCAAAAGCAAGTTTATTTCAACAATATAGGATTAGGGTAAACGGTTTTTAGTGTGTCATGCCTTTTTATTTCCTTCTTGTTACATTCGGAAAAAGTTGCCCCAGCTTTGCTCAAGCTCAACAGAAAACGGCCATCCATTCCGAATCCATTCCGGATCCTCCTCCAATACCGAACATGGAAAGAAACCGGTATGAGGACCAGCGGCAGAAACGGCAAAACGACGCTTTAACACAAATTTGCACCGGTTCCACTGAACTGGAACCCCCGGACACCCATCCCGACGGGTCCTCGCATCCCGGACCAGGACCCCAATACCCACAGGTCACCCTTAATCGCACTCGAAAAAGAGCAGGAATTAAGATGCCCTGCCCGAAGATCTTTGTTTTTTTTTTCATTTCTTTGCAAGCCGTTTTATTTTGCTTTACCCTGCACTCAACTACTTAATAATTCCAAAATATGTATGTTTATTTTCAACATGAGAAGCATGTTTAAAATAAACATATTTATTATTGTTCGCATAGCTGTCAAACCAAACAAAAATAAAAACGTTTATTTTCAACATGAATATTTTTGAAATAAATGTAACATTATTTTTATTTTAAAAATTGATTTCACATGACTCCAAACATGGAATACGTTTGAAATGAACCTAATTTATGTTTGTGGCCAGAACAAACTGAGTTTACGTTTAAATTTACCTCAAATATTTTTGTTACGACGATAGTTTTTTTCTGCGTGAATGAGTTAAGCCACTTTTCTTCAAAATGGGTCTTTTTCAACCATTAATGGGTACTTTCAAGTTAGCGTGCATTGAAGACGATAATAATAGGTGAACAATACCCTATTGACTTCTCGACGCAAGATCTCACTAACACAACCTTGCTAGTGTATTCGTGTAAAATCGATTTGTTTATTATTTTCAACCACGAAATCAGCTGTCAAAGTGTTCGACTTGACAGCGGTTTGTTTTTTATTTTCAACCAGTAAAGCGTATATGTATTAGTGAAGTTCGACAGTGAGCATGCATAAGGGCGTATACGCGATGATCGATTCTCTTCATCGTTTTTCTCTTTGCATTGCTACAGCTAAGCGAAACAATTTTGTAGAATTTGTTCAATGTAGAGTTGTAATAGGTTGTATTGGCTTTCAAAAGCAACAACAAACGCACCGACAAACGTTAAATCTAGCGAGTTATTAATAAAAGAGAAAATCGATGAAGAGAATCGATCATCGCGTATACGCCCTTTTGAATGCTCACTGTCGAGTTGATCACTACTACTAACGGTGGTAGAGAACTCTACACGGTAAGAAAAAATACTCAAAATTAAGTTTAAAAAAACTCAACGTTGGGCTCTATCATTTGAGGTCCACCGTTGAGTGAATCAGAAAAGTGGCGTTGGTTAAAATTTACTCAACTATTGAGTAATAATAAATGAACTCAAATATAAGTTTATTTTCATTGAGGTTGTTTTTATGCGCCTTTAACCACTTCATCTTCACAAGCGTTGATAGACGAGTGGTCAACACACGGGCCCCGTAATCTCAACGTCCATGGTTCGGTTCCAGTCTGCCCCGTTTTATTATTTTTTTGTCAACTTGGTCAACGCCAGGATTACTCAAAATTGAGTTTTCTTCTTTAACTTAATTTTACCTAGCCCCACGGAAGCCACGTGATGAGTGAAAGGAACTCAATTTTGGGTACTTTTTTCTTACCGTGCAGGCTTTGTCGTCGTCACTAATGTGGATCAAGTATGGAGAGGGACGGCGATCGCACTGAAGTCGCGCATCCAGTATCCTCACGTCGATAAAAGTTTGGACGGTTTGGCTGATCGCTTTACGAGTGCAAGATGTCACTCTCGGGCACTGCACAGCCTGCTGCTCGGGAAGAATTTTTCAACGGCGCTCTTGCCTAATATGTCCGCAACCGCACGGAGCACGTAATTCTATTGGACGATTTCAATGGCGTGCTTCGCCCAAGTGACTCATTCAGCTCGAACACAAGTCCGTCGCTCAGAAGTACCGTCCAGCAACTTAAGCTTTTCGACATGTGGGAAAAACTGTGCGCACGAGATGTCGGTTTCACCTTCGTCAGCAGAAATGCATGATCCCGTCTTGATCGTATTTACGTGAGCACCGGGCTACGCGATCATCTACGAGCGGCCATACTCACGTTTGCTTGTTCTCCGACCACAAAACGCTGACACTTAAACCAAAGAGGTAAATCTAAGATGCTTAAACTGTGCCTTCCCCACCTCGGACGTGGACACGGCCGTGGTTTCCGGTCCGTTCGCCCAAACCTGCTGACGGACGAAAATGTGGTGAATTTCCAATACTGGTGGCAATATTGGACCCGTCAGCGCCGAAACTACGCATCTTGGATGGAATGGTGGCTGTCGTAAGCTAAGCCCAAAACCAATATATTTTTCAAATGAGAATCGCGAGCTGCTTTCGACGTGTTCCATTACGAACACCAACGGCTCTATGCCGAGCTACGGTTAGCATACGACGGCTACGATCAGAACCCAGTGGTTCGTGTCTAATCTATTCCGGACAAATTATTTTTATCTAGATAAAACATTTCTATGGCTTTGACCGATGGGATCGCTGCACATTTCAATCGGCCGCTATGGATTCTCGATCAAGAGTTAAATTTAAGTTTCATACCGATTTGTCGGTGCCCTAGTCCTGACAACTCCAAACTATGCCTTGTTAATAGTGACAAGACTTGAAGAAGTAGTTACAATGCCTATTGAATTGTGACGTAAATTTAAGATAAATTTAAAATCTAAATGTTGGGCCTTATTACGGGTGTCACTACACGGTGATAAGGAAGTGATACTCAGAATAAGAGCCATGATTGCCGTACTAATCAAATGGGAATCACTTCACCGTGACGACAAGTGACAAGTTTTCACCGTGAAGTGACATCCGTAATAAGCCCCTTTAATTTAGATTTTAAATTTAACTTAAATTTCCGTCACAATTCAACAGGCATTGTAACTACTTCTCCAAGTCTTGTCACTATTAACAAGGCATAGTTTGGAGTTGTCAGGACTAGGGCACCGACAAACCGAAATGAAACTAATTAAACTTAACTCTTGATCGAGAATCCATCCAGCTTTCCATGCTCGGTAATGGCGGCCTGTTTGTATGAATAAATGTATCCTTCACTGTGCTTTTTGACACTAACTGGAGGGCGTATGTTGTTCCATTTTCTTCTGTTCCTGGGAGAGGGAAAGGGGAAGGGGTTGAAATTCGAACATCCAGATAGTGTCAAAAAGCACAGTGAAGGATACATTTATTCATACAAACAGGCCGCCATTACCGAGCATGGAAAGCTGGATAGCGGCCGATTGAAATGTGCAGCGATCTCATCTGTCAAAACCATAGAAATGTTTTATCTAGATAAAAATAATTTGTCCGGAATAGATTAGACACGAACCAAATCATAAATCTTGTAACCGTGTTCGTGGTTAGAATAAAGATTTTCCGCGAACACGGTGGCAGATGTCAGTTTTGTGTTTTGATCAGAAATGTCATGGTAATTTGCATGGGCATTCATGTCGGTTTGTCAGTGACTAGGGTTCGGAGGTAGATCTTATACCTTGTACAGACATACAATGTTCACTGTTGTACTAGCGTTGTACCAACAATCAATACAAAACTATCGATTTTAAATTGGCTCACTACTTGACTAGCCTATTGGTCCCATTCAAACGATTAACGTATCCCATTCTAGTCGAAATTCTAGTACTACGCAATGTTTGTTTTGATTCGCTATGAAAGTTTGACAGATAAAATGAGGGGTTATTGGTTTTTCCTATGTTTCGAGGGGTGAATCGATTAGCTTGGCACCGAAGAGAGTACCAGAGCTGAGCCAAAAAGTTGAGCACGTTATTTCGGGACCTTCTAGTCTTAGAGTTACCTCTATGGTTGTACTGCTTTAAGCTAGTACCACAAATTGTTCGTTTTGAGGTACTAGATTAAAGGAGTACAACAGTACTAATTTGTATGTCTGTCTGTGGTATTATACCAGTAACGCACCACGAAAAGGTGATATGCCTGCGTTACTAGTTTCGGAGATAAACGCACTCAGAGATTTTGAACACTCAAGCACCGATTAGATCGCCATTTAGGCTTTGGTTACGAAGATTAACGGATTTAAATATTTTTAACGTTTTGAACCCTTTTTGGTCAAAATCTCCAAAGGCGTTATTTATGAAAATTATCGCAATTAATGGGAAGTGGACGGAATGGACAGTAGAAAAAACTCTTTCGATGAAATCAATCTTTATTTTTGATCAACTGAGCTTCCTCATTTCTCCTCTTTTTTTGTGTTACAATAACAATAGCTCCATACAAACTGCAATTGTAAATGCTGACACGTTCCATCTGATCGGTTTACATCTCTCTATACTGTTTTGTTTACATTAAGGCTGTTGTGGCTAGGGTTAACAAACGAGCGTGATCTTAATAGTTGTTTGGTGTATTTCGCGCCAGCACTAGCGAAAACGTATTTTTTGTTGAGGTTATGTCCTTTTCCTCTATCTCTCTCTCTTTTTCTCTCTTATATCTTTGGTTTCAACATCAGCCTCTTGAAAGAAATTTGAATTTGACTAGAGTTTGTTATGGTTTTCTATAGCTGGATTCGGACTCGAAGATGCGATTTTTGTCGTATTTTAAAATTTCATAAGATTTTCGAATTGTAGGAAGAAACTCTACTCGACTATAAAACAGAAAATTAAAATTAAGACATCATCTGCTCTCATCTCTCTAATGCATTGCTTTAAATGACAGGTTGCAATTTATATATAGATCAATCATTCGTTCACTTTCATTTGGACAATTTGTATTTGTAACACGTATGTGTGTACGCATTTTGTGTATGAGCGTGAACTACATCTAAAGCTATACAGATAATAGTATCGTAACGAAACAAGTATGTATGGGGATAAACAAAAACTCAACGAATGCGCGTGTGTGAGAGAAACAATAACATCGAAAAGGGTGAATTCTTAGGATGAGGGGGCGGGGTGGGGATTTGTGCGAGATGCTCGCCGCCCACTATCTCGTATCACACTCAACTGCTTGATTTGCCTCGTCCGAAATCAGTAGTTTGCGACGGGATTTTCAGCTTCTCGATAGCCGCGTCGGCCAGCTTCTTGTACTTGCCGATCAACTCGGGCAGATCGTACGCGATGGCAATGTCCAGCTTGTTGATCGGGCAACCGCGGAAGTACGTGCACGTCTCAGACAACTTTTGGAACTCGTACAATGGGTTCAGGTGGAAGAAGTCACGGTATACGTCCGGATCCGGCAGGTCGTAGCGAGAGATGTTGGTCAACGTGGAGAGACCCTCGTAGATGTGGTACTGCTGCGGGTTGCCGATGATCTGCTCGGAAATGTGCTTCTTGTTCGTGAACAGCGTCTTGTGGTTATAGTAGGTCGTCAAATAGCAGTCGACCATCTTGGCGTGGTTACGGACACGTACCTTTAGGTTGCAAAATAATTGGAATTGAGCTTAGAATAGGATTTGAGCTTTGGTTAAGCTTGATTCGGGAACTTACAGCAAAGCGACGTGCACTGGCAATCTTGTTTTCGATTCTCTTGTCGATGGCCTGACCCAGGTCGAGCAGCAAGGAACGTTCCTGAGCCTGCAGTAGACGCACTGGTGCTCCGGTTTCGAAAGGATTGGACCACAGAGAGACGGTGTACATCACTGGTGGCTGAGCAGAGGACATCAATGGCGAAATGTTCCAGATCAGGGCGCCCTGGACGCGGAGCAGCTCTTCCGGTTTCACTTGGTCGGCCTTGTTGAGTAGGATGCGGGTCTACAAGAGTACGGATGCATTGAAAAAAAAATCTTGTTCGGATCATTACTGAATATAGATTCTCACCTGATATTCTCTTCCCTTGAGCTGGTCCAAAATGGCTTCCGTTTCTGGTCCGACATCGAGCTTGGATGGATCGTACACCAGGAAGATAATGTCAGCACGATCGATGAACCACTGGCAGGCATCGTTGAAGGGGAAGTACTGAGAGACCTGCTTGCGTACCTCTAGAATGCCGGGAATCTCGACAATGTTGACCTGCCAAGACAACGTAAATTAGATGGTAACGAAATTAGAACCACGCTTTCAAAAGCATTCACAAGTGGTTTTCAAGCCAACAAGTGTTTTCCCATTAAACCCGGTGCGATTCTATATCGGTGCATACATTCAAATTTTACATTAAATGAGGGGTGCCCCAACAGATTCCCAAATGACCCCTTCAGGTTATTCTAATAACCATTAATGGCTACCGGATGCTATCCGTCTCTAAATTGGGATATTTTATATATGGATAGCTATAAGTAGTTCCGTTTGATAGATTCAGCAACCCCTCTCTCAAATTCATTTCTCGCATGCGGGCAGCTCAAAAATAGATGCTCTTGTGCGGTAAAGCTATTTTGGTTCATCTGATTTTCGGTTGGTCTTCTTTCTTGCGCGTCTGCGGCGCGCTGTAAATGTAGCTGACCGCCACCACGATGGCGGTCCAAATGTCAGCGTGTTTGCCCACCATATGTACGCAACAACAACAGCTGCTGCTGGCATGTTACTACAATGTGGGATTGCGAAACGCAATCTAACATTTTCAGTAGCATTATGAATGCCTTTATGTTTTATGTAATATGCATTTAAGTTGAGTCGTTTTTGATGACGAACGACATTCGGCTTTTAAACTGACAGCTACGGCCAGTCAAAACCGTTTAAACAAAACGTTATAGTAGGATGTTTTTATAATTCAACTCATGACTCACTGTGGCGTTTCGCCTATTCCTATGCTCGTTGATAAACAATGTAGGAATTTACGTTTTGGCATCCTTACAAACAAAGGTCAACCCTGTGAACTGGTTGACTATTGTTGTTGATCTATACGCGACTTACCCGTTCGAGCAGCTTGTTGGGCAGCTTGTGTCCTCGCAGGCGATCTAGCAAACCTTGACCGAACTTCTGCAGTCCGGAGAAGGTCCAATCGGCAGCGAGCTGAGTTCCGTCCAGCACTTCCGGTTCATCACCGTGCATGAGAATGTTGAAGTAGGCTGGCGATGGTTCGGCACCTGCAAAGAAACCAACCAAATTAGCTTCCGATTTAAAGCCGTTTTAAGTTTCACCTCTACTTACCGGTCCTAACCGAATTGGGAGTGTACTCATTGTGGGTAAGATAATTGAGAATAGTAGACTTTCCACCGCTCCACGGTCCCATGAAAAGGATCAGTGGCTTGGAGAAGATTTCGGGATCGCCAAAGTGACGATTACTGAGATCACGGTACTTGTAGAGGTTTTCCAGCGGTTTGATGGCGGTGTCGTAGATTTTCTTCAGATCACGAAGGATAACGCCCGCGACCTTCTGGAGGGCCTCCTCCTTTTGGGCGGACTGGTCGTTAATGTGCAGCAATTCGTAAACGTGCGAAGTATCTCTAAGGTTCGTTGGGATTTCGTACTCCTAGTGAGACACGAAGAACACACACAAACAATTGAGGAAGGAAGTGAAACGGTTATTCGACATTATTGAAAAGAGCGTGCTTATGAAAAAGATAGAGAATGATTTTCATTACCAGTAGCAGATCTTCCTCCGGAAGCGGTTCGGATTCTTCGGTACTTTCTTCTGCAGCAGCCTCCACGGCTTCTTCGGAATCTGGTGTGGCTTCCTCAGAAACTGGCGTGGCTTCTTCGGATGTGACTTCTACCTTTTGTGCCACTTCTTCGCTGGCTTCCTCTTCAGTCACAACCGGTTCCGGAACAACCTCGGCTTCCTCTGCGGATTCTTCTGTTGCAGCTTCCTCAATCACTGCAGCTTCCTCTGTGCTTTCAGCGACGACCTCCTCAACTGGTTCAGTTTCCTCAACAGAGACAACATTCTCCTCAGAGGTTTGTTCTTCTACTGGTTCGGCAGTTTCTTCCGAAGTTTCGACGCTGACTTCTTCTACGATTTCTTCGCTAGCAACAGCTGGCTCCTCTACAGCTTCGTTGCTTGCTTCTTCAGTTTTTTCAGCGGCTTCCGAACTTGCTTCAGCTTCTGTTTCTACTTCAGCCGATGGTTGTTCCTCTTCCTGAAATTAAACATCAACTCACGATGTAGAACATCCGTTTTCTCAATCAACTCCAAAAATGGTGAAAGGACAACGCAGTTAGTGATTTTGGCCTCCCTTCCCCGCCAAAACGTTCGGTGTGATGTTATTCACAGGTCCAGGTAGGGTAGTGCGGTTGAGGTTTTGGTTCAGGAATTGGGGTTCGGTGCTCTACCTCTTCCTCAGCGCTAGCCGCCATTTCGTCGTCTTCGTCTTCGTCGACTTCTTCCGCTTCTTCGCTCACTTCTGCCGCATATTTAGCTTCCTCATCGTCATCATCACTCTTATCTTCGTCATCTTCATCCTCATCCCCCTCCGTCTCTTCATCTTGTTCGTCTTGTTCAACTTCCTGTACAATCAGTTACAGTTTTCAACACAATCCAAATATTTGAATTTGTGTCGAAAACTATACCTGGTCATCTTCTTCCTCTTCGTCTTCGTCTTCATCCGCTTCCGCGCTCACTTCAGTCTCTTCCTGCTCATCTTCGTCATCCTCAGTTTCATCTTCTTCTTCGTCTTCGTCATCACCTCCCTCATCATCATCTTCCTCCTACATACAATGAAGCTATGGTTAAGCAGTTTTCCAACACATTTCGTAACGAATTCTGTTGGAAAACGCTACCTGTTCTGTGCTTAACGCATGTTCTTCATCATCATCATCTTCATCGTCATCTGCTTCTACGCCATCGTCGTCGTCAGCATCTTCCTCATCCCCATTAACATTTTCATCGTCGTCTTCGTCATCATCATCTTCCTATGCAACAATACACTGACTGTACAGTTCACCAATTAAAAATGTCTCAATTCTTTCACCACTTTTGTGATTGAATTGAGATAATTTTATTGAAGAACTGTACCTGTTCAGCACTCCCTATTTGTACTTCATCATCCTCCTCTTCATCGTCTTCTTCTACTTCATCGCCATCTTCAGTCTCATCTTCCTCTTCATCTTCCTAAGTAACGAAATAAAGTCTAAAAGTTTCCCAACACAATCCACCAACTACGTTAATCGAATTGCTGGATTACTGCTGGAAATCTCTACCTGGTCATTGTCATCGTCGTCCTCTTCGTCGTAGACATTTTGGTCCGTATCGTCATCATCGTCTTCTTCCTCTTCCTACACAATAAACAAAGACTGAAACCTCCTGACCTCATCAACAAATGTACCATCACAAGTGCGGTGGTAAAACTTTGCGATGTTTTACCTCTTCAGTACTCAATACCGCATCGTCTCCTTCCGCGTCATTGTCCTCAGTATCTTCTTCGTCATCAGTCTCGTCTTCGTCTTCTTCTTCTTCCTGTGAAACGTACCACAATCATGCAACAATGTCTAGTTCAGTGTGCTGTGTGCTCTCTCACACTTAGCTAGACCTTTTCTTCGCCTGCCTACCTTATCTTCCTCATTTTCCTGATCAGTTGCCTCAGCACTGATTTCCTCTTCCGTGTCTTCCCCATCATCAGCATCAGAATCTTCGTCGGCCTCCTTTTCAGCAGCTTCTTCGCTCAGAGTAGCATCCTCCTGACTTTCTGTTACCTCGTCGTCGTCGTCGTCGTCTTCTTCAGCATCTTCGGTTGCCTCATCGCTAGCATCTGCATCAGTGTCGTCTTCGTCCTGAGTTCAACACAATAGCTTCGTCAGTCACAGAATTAGAACAGAGAAAGCAGCGCTTCATGTTCATACACAGTCCCAAATCACGAAGCCTTGATGCAGCGGTTTGTGATTGGTGATTGAATGATAACAGCGTACACAGACGGTTTTGGCGGGGTTGTGGAGTAGGCGGGAAAGGTCAGAGATGGTGAACGCGAAACAAGAGAAAGTTCATATGCGGTGGAAGTAAAAGAATTATGATTGGTGGCTTGGATCCGGTACTGGTCCGGGATTGAAACCTAGAATAGCAGTGACTGAAAATGTGATACAGACAAGAACACTAATGAAGGGCTTAAGAACGATTGAGAACATAAACAAGAGATAGCCAGGAGCAGTGAAAGGTTCGACGATCAGCGGTTAAAGCGGTGTGCACCCGTTACCGATGGTGGATAAATATGGTTACCTCAGCATCGGCACTGGTAGCATCTTCTTTGTCTTCATCGTCGGCACCTTCATCATCATCATCATCGTCCTCGGCTTCAGCTTCCTGTTCCTGACTCTCGGTTACAGCTTCATCGGTTTGTGCTTCTTCATCTTCCTCCTCCTCGTCTTCCGCTGCTGCTACTTCATCATCATCTTCTTCTTCTTCTTCAGAAGCAGTCACTTCTTCAGTTTCCTCTACCTCTTCGTCTCCTTCTGCATTTTCCTCGCTACCCTCGATGGGTTGCTCGGTGGAATTGTCGAAAAGTGCTTCCTGCACCTCTTCCGATGCGGTCAGCTGTTCGGGTTCGGGAACATCTTGCTCAATACTGGTCTCCTCGGCGGCAGTGTTGTCTTCCTCCTCTTGGCTAGTGACATCTATTGGTGTTTCAGAACTACTCGGTTCCTCCGTAGTCACATCCTCCGTGGTCGCATCCTCCTTACTCACGGTATCTGTTTCTTTTAAATAGTTAGATTAGAAGTGTACATAATTGTTAAAAGTAATTTTCACTACCTCCTGCCCTGAGTTCATGCAGTGCTTTTTCAATGTATGGCCGACATTCGTACTCCGTTGGAGTTTCTGCACTAACCTGGAGGTCTAGTTAAGAATTGAAAGGGAAAAGTTAGCGGAAATTGTCGTAAAGAAATTCGATATTTCCAATCGAAATCAGTGAGCACGAAATTTGTGTTGCATCGACAATCGGTCCGTTTATTTTTAGAGCTGCCACTGGTTGTCTGTGTAAGAGCGCTTTCTGCTTAGCATGGAATGGCATTGTGCCAAACAGTAATCGGTTTCCCGGTGCGGTGGAGATCGATGAAGGCGAAATGCAAAGAACATAGCTCAGTCGCCGATGCGTCACTTTATAACGCTGCAATGTACGTCATACGTCTCGATAAATTTATCTTTGAGGTAAATATACATCGATTATAGGGTAAACGCACCAATAGTCGAGGTACGTTAGAGCCACTATAGGAACACATTGCACTAACATACCTCCACTCTTGGTGCGTTTACCCTATTGCAATCGAGAAAGGCAAATCTAAAGAAATGTGAATTTCGTGTGACGATTGATACAAGAAATTGATTTATCAGGGTAAATGTTCCTATAGTTTCGGTACGTTTGAAGCGTTAGATTCTTAAGGGTCACCCACATTAGATCCGTTTGCGTTGCGTTGACGTTAATTTGACAGTTAGACAGTAGATTTAGCTGTCATTTTGCCGCAACGCGTCCATTCCGGATCTAATGTGCGTGGGCCTTTACAGTTGTGTAAGGAGTCTGTACAACTATTGGCACCTAATGCTTCTAACGTACCGCATCTATAGGAGCGTTTACCCTATCCAAACTGCCTACGTTATAAAGTAAAACATTACTTCTATTTAGATCTAGAATTAAAGAGCAACAGCTTTTGTAAAACTCTCGATGATTTGTATGTAGAATTAATAAAGGAAACGGCAGTGAATTCTTGGATGAATTATTAAAAATTCGAAGTGAATATTAGGATAAATTCCAAGAATGTTTTGGAATGTTCTACAGGTAATTTCTGGAATGATATACAGAAATTTTCAAGGAACCAGACTCATATTAATTTTAGAGGATATCTGAAAAGAATTTTGTGTATGGATATGATTCTCATATTAATTTTAGAGGTTATCTGAAAAGAATTCTGTGTATGGATATGATTCTAACAGAAATTCTTGACGACATTCCAAAGAAATCCTGTATAGAGTTCTGAGCGAATGCAGACAAATTTTGAAGATTTCAAACACAGAAGCACATTCAAGATCCTGAAAAATGTCTGCTGTCTAATTAATGACCAGACCATAAACAAATCGGGGAAAACCGGCAAATTCCTAATCGGGATTTGCTGGTCACCATTGTATAACAGAGTTTAGAAATAGAGTAGTTATTAGTACAGAATTCTGACCTACTGGGGATAGGATCGCGTTGATTGTAATAGTATCCAATGCCATCGCGTGGTTCTGTTTCCGGATATCGTGGTTAGTCTATGTCTTGCTCGTGGTGCTGCATCATTGTGTGGGTCTGATGTTTGCAGTAAAAAAATGAACAAAAATAGTCGATTTTTCATGGGTTTACCCTGGTTTACCTTCACCCGCACTGACAAAACCGAGGGGGGCGACACATCGAAATCTCAATTTTTGATTCTTAAAAAATCTCACAGCAGTGAATCAATCTTCGGAAAATCGTCTTTCATTTCTCGCATCTTCTCGCATAAACTTGCATCGCCCATCATCTTTTTGCAGGAAATCTTCAGAATCATCATCATGAATCTTCTTTCTATCTACTTAGTGTGCGCGCAGCTAGCCACACAAAACACAATCTTTCCTGCATCGTAGATGGAGTCACCCCCCTCGGACGAAACTACCCATGCAGCATCAATCATAGTAACTCATGAGTCAGCAGACAAAATTTAACAGCTCTATCAGTCGAACTCTAACCGTGATGGCAAAATCAGTGAAGCAACTCCGTTCAGAAGTGTGCGCGTTCAAAGAACGACACCCCGCCGCGTCGAAAACGGACATCGTGCGGCACTTTATGGACGCCGGATACGCCCGTTACGGCATCTACAACATCTTGGCACTATTAGACAACAATCAGAGCATCGAAAGAAAACCCGGTTCCGGACGGCCGACGAGCCTGAGCGACAAGAAGCTCCAAAGGATGTTGAAGAGGAAGACCGAGGGAAAAGTGGCTACATCGCTGCGTGCGCTTGGCCGGGAGGTCGATGCAACCGGCCAAACAGTGAAAAAGTACCTGGCAAACATGAACATACATGTCAGGAAGCGGAAGTCACGTCCACTGGTTTCGGAGCTGCAGGCAATGATGCAGCGGCAGCGGCTGAATAAGATGGTCAACTCGTTTTTCCCGGCGAATCGCGACGTGGCGGTGGTGTTGGACTACGAGACCTATCTCACCCTGGATGGCAACGACTGACAGGGCACTTCGTATTTTGCTTCCCCCACGAAGGAAGTGAGCTCCGATGTGAAGTTCATTTCACACACCAAGTTCCCCAAGAAGGTGCTGCTGTGGCTGACAATCAGCGAGAAGGGAATGTCAAAGCCGCTCTTCTTTCGCTCCGGACTGGCCGTGAACGGGGAAATTTATAGTACGAAATGCCTGCCGGAAGTTGCGTTGTTCATCACGAAATACCGTAAGGGCGAAGACGCGGTGTTCTGGCCGGATCTGGCGTCGGCCCACTTCTCGAAGCGATCGTTGGAGGAGATGGAGCGGCTGAATATCGATGTGATACCCAAGTCGACGAACCCGCCCAACGTCCCCCAGCTGCGTCCCATCGAGAATTTCTGGGCCAACCTGAAGCGTAAGATCTACTCCAACAGTTTTGTCGCGAAAACTGAGGAGGAATCGATTAATAAAACGAAGAAAGAACTCAAAAAAATGCCTACACGCATGTTTTCGTCCGCCACGGCGAATGTTCCGGTTAACTGCCGGAAGGCCGCTTGCAAGGGCGTAGAAGTTTATTGCACGTAAGCTTAAATAATTACCTTCCATGGAAAATTTATCAAAAGAAATTATCTGCTTTAGCTTTTTTTATCACCATCCGAAAATAGTCCATTTTTTTTAATGCAAACGTTATTGTCGTGTGGTTCAGTCGTGTCCTAATATGTAGTTGTATGCTTGGTGTTTGTCAAATCCTATAGAAAATTCCGGAAGCCTTCAAGAAGGACAGTAGAGCCGTCTTTGTATTTGATTCGTTACAGAGAGCAGTCTGTATTGTTGGTAATCGTGGCAGTAAGTGCTCAACTGACACATGTGCTGTACACGTTCCGCAGAGGATGTGGAAACTTGCACGCTAATCCTCCCCAATAATAAGGCCATTTTGACTCAAGCCTAATTTTTCAAAATGGCGTATTTGATATATTTCAATAATCATAGCACGAAAACGGCTCATCCAATCGAAATGACGTCTGAGACAAAGTTACAACTACACGGCACAAAAGTTTGCATATTTGATAAGCTTTGAAATAAACATATGTTTAAAAAATATTTTTTTTTTGATTTTGATGTTTCAAACAGTTGTTTTTTTTTATTTTTGATTAAAATTTGTATTTTTATTAGTATTTTTTTTTTACAAAAACGCAATCCAGTTTCGTACAAGTTGTTGAAATTTGGAAAGGGAAAAATAAAATCGATTTGTCAGTTGGCGTGGAACTGCTCTACATCCATCCATTTGTCAGTTTTCCCCTAGGGGCATCCCACTCTAAACTTTAGCTCCCATACTCATTAAGTATTGTTAAATCTCTCTTAAGTATTTTTAAGTATTTTCAAATATTTTTATCTTGACGTTATTTTGATCATAGTAAGTCTTGGCTATAACATCGGTTTCTAGTGCAATTGTTTTTCATGTCGATGTCAAACATTACGCGTGAATTTTGCAAAAATGTCTACCGAAGAGTTACTGATTCATACTGATTGGATAAAATAGGTATTTTGAGGATTTGAATATAATTTAATTGACTACTGCTACTACTCATTTTATATTAAATATTTTATTTGCAGACATCATTCAGCGGGGCTTTGGTGAATTTCCTGTAAAGATGAAAAAGCTGCTGGATGTACTATCATTTTCAGGTAGCCTAACCATAGCACTCTTGAAGTCTGAATCTATATCACAATTGGAAAAATCTTATCTTTCTTTATTAAAGAGACTTTCATTATTCATTATTAAAGAGACTGGTTCATCTCTGCTACAATTGGAAGAAGACATGAGGACGATGACAGAGTCAATTCGGAAAGGGCACGATGTCAATTATGCAGACCTATATGGGGACTTCAGTGAAACCCCGAGAACTTCCACCTGTTTACCCAATTGTTTGAGTAATCGGCCCTCGGTCCACTAACATTAGGTTTAAGAAAACTCTGTTAATCTAAAATTGAACTTCGGCTTTTTTGAAGCTTATGCAAATGAGCTTTGACAAATAAAAAACACAAATATATATTAAATAAACCATGACTTTGGTTTACATTTGGCTCACTGTCATCTTTCACATGTTTGCCTAATACTGAATTTGATCAATGGATTCAAATTAGTCACTTATCTATTTCTATTTCCCAAGTAACATTGAAAATTTTATGGAGGTTTTAAAGCATGCTACAAGTCTAAACCATGGTCTAGATAACCCCTATAAAACCGAAATTGTTACTTGGGATTTATGTATTACCTATCTACCCCTATTTTGATCGAAACAAATTTTCAATAAAAATAATAAGGACAAATCTATTTCGATCCAAATAGGGAATAGGAGTGACTATCATAATGAAACTTGTTCAGAAAAGTGTGTTTGCTCAAATACTATCTCAAATATAGCTACTTAAATAAGAGAGACGGGTACTTTAGGTTGAGACTCGGTGCAGCTGGAAAGCAGATTTTTTTTTAAATTTTCTCTTATGTCAGAAAAAAGACACATTCTCATAAACGGAAACTCATAATTGACCTTTCCTCTGAAGTTGTAAATCTCTTTTTTTGTTTGATTTATTCACTAAATACTTTAACGCTCGCAATGCACAAAATCCAACCTGAGACATAAAATCCCTGACATTGAGTAAACAAACATCAGTA